GTGTGCGTGCCCAGTCAAATATGGATACTTTCGCAGTAGACTCTTCTGCTCTGATGTGCGCCATGCACTCGTTTGTGCTTAATAGTTGAAGAAGCACTCAAAGTTTTACCTCTCCCCTACTGTCGCGAGAACTAACGTCTTGATTCTAATCGTTCGATGGTCCCAGCAAGAGCCAACAGCTGCGAGCTTCATCACAACACACATTAGGTTCCTTATAGCGAAAACCACCTCTCGTCATCTACACCCAAAAACCTCTTCGTACTGCAACGTTGACTCCTGCGAATACGACCCCCCTCTAGCGTCGGCCAAATACGACCCCCCCCCGTTGGACTTTGTCCAACGGACGGTTGACCCTGCTTGGAAACTTTATTAGGAGCTATTACTCTGACAGCTTACCTCACTACTCCTTCCTTCGGATCCAAGCGGTGTAGAATATAGTCATCAAAGAACTTTTGCACATAATGTACGCTCATCACCAGAACCTTTAATAACTACAGTAAACTAAATAATAACTACAGTTCCACTAAAACTCAATCTTTCGTTCTCATTCAGAAAGTGAGTGGCCCTCCAAGAATCTCTGAGCAAAAGAAAGCTTGGAATTTTCTTCAAACTTTTTACAGAAGAGTTATATGAATTCTGACAGCGAACCAAAAGCAACTCTATTTTTAGTAAAAAAAGACAAAATTGAAGAATCGCGAGGAAAAGCTTTGAATGCGTTGATAATACGGAAAATTTGGAGTGGACAAAATAAAAATTGTCTTGCCTTCTCTGGATCGACGATACACTTTGTTGTATGACCAGGGGGACCAACACTTGAGGTGTTGTGATAGCGCCGCGTCGGCATCCATTTGGCCACCTTAAAATGTGTTTGCATCACCATAAACGATAAAATTTTCTCGAAAAGAAGTTGTGATAGTATTGCTGAAAGATTCTTTTCCGGAAGACACCGAATTCAACGGAAATGAGATTACCCCATACATGTTGCGCAGCCCATGTATGGGGTAGTCTCCTCCCCCATACCGACGAAAACGTTACCACATCCGTATCAGATTAATTAATAATTATTTACATATTTATGTTTACTGACACTTTGTGAAGCAGAACAGCCGGGTGGTTTTGAGCGTACGCTAATGTCTGCACTCTTTGGGGCAATGGGTTCGATTTACCTGTTGGTCACCCTCGTATCGCTCAGGCATTGACTCATTCTTGAGAATCCATCGCTGACGATATTGAATGGCTCCAATTTTTGGGATCCGAAATGTTTCTGGAAGATTATGCACTTCATTGTATTCTGTGTGCGCAAAAGTAAGGTGTAGAATTTGACAGAAATGGCTACGAATCGAAAGTTTCATGAAAACTTTGAAGTTCATTTTCAACGAAGCGTATCGAACGTTGGATTCAGATTACAAAAGGCAAACCAACGTGGGAAACCAATAAAAAAATGACATTTTGTTTCCACATCCATAAAGACTTGAGCACATTTCCTAACGCCAAACCAAGGATAGAGGTTAGTGGGCCTACCAAGCTGGTACTCGGGGTCCCGAGCAGCGGGCTTGCAGTGTTCGGCTGGGCACTGCCCTCCACCCAGGGTCAACCCTATGTTGCT